ACGTACCTAGGGTAATGATGTCCGTCTCACTCTGCCATCTTTTCTATCCCCATGCCTCCTTCGTTCTCCTCCCTCTCTTTGCCCTATCCAGAGTTCCTCTATTCATCCCGTGCTCCCCGCTCCACACCTTCTTTATGGATCAGCATCCACTTATCAGAACATTTGGCCTTTGATTTGGGGGGATTGGATAACTTCACTTAGCATGATATTTCTCCAACTCCATCCATTTACCTGCAAATGCCATGATTTTATTCTTTTAATGCTGAATAATATTCCATTGTGTACATATACCACAGTTTCTTTATCCATTCATCTATTGAAGGGTTGGTTCACAATTTAGCTGTTGTGAATTATGATGCTGTAAACATTGGTTCCACGATTTAGCTATTGAGAATTATGCTGTTGTAAACGTTGAAGTGGCTGTGTCACTGTAGTATGCTGTTTTTGAGTCCTTTGGGTATAATCCAAGGAGTACAAATAACCCAATTAATAAATGGGCTAAGGAACTGAACCTATTCTTCTCAGAAAATGATATACAATTGATTAACAAATATATGAAAAAAATGTTCATCTCTAGCAATTAGAAAAGTGTAAATCAAAACTAAGATTTCATCTCACTCCAGTCAGAGTGGAAGTTATTAAGAATACATGCAACAGTAAGTGTTGGCGGATTGGGGGAAAAAGCACACTCTTACATTTCTTGTGGAATTGCAAATTGGTGCAACCAATCTGGAAAGCAGTATGGAGATTCCTTAGAAAACTTGGATTGGAACCACCATTTGAACCAGTTATCCCACTCCTGTTGTCCATTTTTGCTAGCTTTCGTTCATGAAGTTTTGACTTCTTATGTACTTTTGGTCTTATGGTTTTGTTTTTTGACTGTGAACCCACTATATTCCTTGAAAATGTATGGGTAGAAATTGAAACCTGGAGTTGAAACTTTATTCCAGGGAGAATCTCTTTTTGCTCCTGCAAAGCACATGGGAACACATCAACTCAGGTTTGTTTTATACATAGTTCTGATTTACGGCATTATTGGACTTGCAGGTTTATTAGACCATTCAGGTTGAATATGGATTCAGATTRCAGAACTGAATGTGGGACAATCTGTTGTTACAAAATCTCATACCTATGTCAATATTTATGCATGGCATTTGTTACTGAATTGTACAGATCAAAGCTCAAGATCATAGTTTTGGCAAATACCTTCAGTTTAAAAAAAGTAGTTACATATACCCTCCTGAATCCCCAACTTTCCCTCACTTTTTGAACTTCGGTAATTTCTTAAAATTCTTGTTACCTCATAGGTTTAAAATTTATTTTTAATTTCAAAAAATTAATATTTTATGTAGTATGTTTACTTGTTCTCAATTAAAGGGTCAACCAAGGTACCAGGAACTTCTGAAGTTCCTCTATTGGTATAGAGAACTTCCGGAACCCTTTGAAATAGAGATCCTTTTTGGTTCAGCTTAAAGAACATATTTTGGTGAGGGAGGGGAATGATATAGGAAAGTTCCCTGTATTAGGAAGAAAGTTAGGGCTGGGAATGTAGCTCAGTTGTAGAGCACTAGCCTAGCATGTACAAGGCCCAGTCCCACCAAAAATAAAAAATAAAAATGATAATAATGCAAAGAAATAGGTGGTTAATATGGAAATAACATTTTGAGTCTCTTTCAGTTACAAAAATGTATAGTTTTAGGTAATCATTTTTTTYCCCCCTTGGGTATTTACCATTTTGAACTGTACTAATACTAATGAATGGCATTTAAATTTTTCCTCSAAGAATAGAGGTTGTGAATCTGTCAAGTATTAGAAAATGTTGAATCTACACCAGAAGTCATCTTAATCCACATTGTGCTTTTGAAAATACATTCTTAATCTGAAATTGTTGAACAAAATCAGATTAGCACTTGAGCCCTCACTCCATTGTAAACACAAAGGATGTATTTGTAGCTGGTTGGCATTCTTTGACAGATGCTGCATTTTGCAAGTAGCAGTCAGTTAAAATGACCCAGTATTTAAATTTTTTCTGTCAAGAATTTAATATAAAATCCCCCTTCTCCATCTAACTCTGTGCTGTCATTCAAGATTCAGGTTGGTTGTCTTCAGTTCTCTTCTTCATTGTAAATCTCAATGAATGCACTGTTGTATGAGCCCTACTGCTAGAAGGGCCTGTATCTGTTTTCACACTGAGTTCTTTTGGCTTTAGGATGGTATTTGAAAGAAACAAATAATTTAGATTGCTTAATAAAAGGTATCTTTGAAAAATAGAGTAATCAGTTTTTCATTAACTAGCTTAAGAACTTTCTTCATTTTAACTGTTATTTTATCTATCTCAAAATTTCCCATTAGAAAAAGCAATTTTGTATAGTAGAATGTCTAGATTCAAAGGCAAATAGAGGAATTCATAAATTTTTATGTGCAATGGGCCAATATATGTACATATTAGTTTACTTGAATTAGAGAAATGTCAAATATGGAAATGGTATTCGGTATCCTGGTATGTGCATTAATTGTTTATAAGTACAAATTTAAGAGACTCCAGAGAATGAGAATTGCTACTTAGCACCATGAGAAAGTATTTGAAAGTCTGTGTGTGCTTGGAACATACTGTATCATAGAAGTGCTATGTAGAGGTTTTTGTAGAGTCTTCAGGATTCTTTCTGTGTACTGCCAGAGTTTTCTCTCCATTCCTATGGTTCTGTAAGAGTGGAATCAGGGAGACCTTCCCCCTCTCAATGTTATGAAATAGCAACCGACCTTTTGGTGGGCCCACTCCATTGGTAGTTCCAGTCAATGGGGCGGTTTCCCAGGTAGTCAGGTTCTCAGCACTGTTTTCTTGTTTGTTTTGTTTTTCAGGATCCCTTTAATAACACCTGAAAATTACTCAGGCAGTGGAGGAGGTCAGGATGCCCTAGAATAACCTGACTTCAAACATACAGCCATACCATGCAGGCTAGTTCCAGTGCATGGGCAATTAATTATTTCAAACAAAATAGAAGGCTTATCTAACTCTGCTGGTAATGTAAAATGCTTTCAGTATATGCCAGTGACACTTTGGAAGTCAGTGTCCGAGAATCTAAATTGCTGTTAAAACCAAATGCCAAAATTAATTGTAAGAAAAAAGATATTAAATACATAGAAAACAAAAGTAGCCAAATTAATAACATAGTTCAGGGTGATCTAATCAAAGTGAAGATATAATTAGTTAATTGCAAGTCTGTTTCTAATAAATGATTTGGGAATAGGAAAGGGATGGTCTTTCCTTTCCCTACTTTTCTTATGCTCTTAAATCATTTTCAGAAACACTTTCTCCTTCCCCAGAATATACATTGTGAATATCTTGATACATCCAAAATTAATTTTAAAAAGTAAACTCCAGTTTCCAACCTGACACACTGAAATGTGCTAGTTGGCATTTTTTCAAAGTCCTAGGTTTCCAGGGTAACTGCGTTGTGATGTCAAGTGCTTAGGTATTCTGTCTTTTGTAGAAAATGATGTTCCTTGCTCTTTGATGTTGCCACATCCCACTGGTTGTTTCCCACTTCCAGAGTTGTTAAGCCCCCAAAACTCATCATCTGTGAATAATGCTTCTGAATTATTTAGAGAAATTCTTAACCAAAACAAATGGCAGTTATGACCATGCCATTTCTCCTCCTCCCTTCCCATCTGTTTTTCCCAGGGGTACAGCTTCCAAACTTCAACCCATGATTACTGTTAAAACATGCAGGGAAAGTTATGTACCCAAATAGTTTTGTTGCACTTGGACAACAAGTCAGTGCTTAACTTGGAATTAGGGTACTTTACATAAAAAGGGAATATGGTTATAAGAGGCATTTTCCTGTTTAATAAAGCTTTTATAATAATCCAAAAAGTATTTTAAGGGCAGCTGTTGCAATAGACCTTTTATTTCTTTTTTTTTTTAATTTTTATTATTGGTTGTTCAAAACATTACATAGTTCTTGACATATCATATTTTATACATTTGATTCAAGTGGGTTATGAACTCCCATTTTTACCCCGCTCTTTATTTCTTTTTCCTGGTGATTCTCGGGTTTGAGGCAAGTGTTTGCATTTGCTGACTCTACCATGGTGCTCCCTTCTTTGGCATGGTTTCTCAGTGACAGACATTTGCTCTCCTGGAAAATGCCACCACGTTCACCTCAACACTTCATCCAGAAATGTCTCCTTTACCCACTTCGGTCTTAACATTCTCTGTATCTTATTCAGTCCCTTTTCTCCATCTCCTCCCTATCACAATTTCGTAAGTTCCTACTTGGCCGCTCTCAGATCGGTTCTCTGTTAACACCAGAACAGAATAAAGCACATAGTTAAGTGAGTGGGCCCATGGTTGGGCAAAATGAGTTGAGAGGTTTGTTTCTAAATGAATAGGATTTTTAATCATATGCTTGTATTGCTTTGATGAAAGTGAATCAATTTATTATTATTATTATTATCATTATTATTATTTTGGTACTAGGAATTGATCTCAGGTGCACTCAACCACTAAGCACATCCCCAGCCCTATTTTGTATTTTATGTAGAGACAGAGTCTCACTGAGTTGCTTAGCACCTCACCATTGCTGAGGCTGGCTTTGAACTTGTGATCCTCCTGTCTCAGCCTTCCAATCCACTGGGATTACAGGCATGTGCCACCATGCCTGGCCAATTCATTATTCTTCATGATTCCATGAAGATACTGCTGTGACCATGTTATTCTCCTACAAAAGATGATTTGATGGTGCCCTGTTGCTTATATTACACTAACAAAGCCAGTTCTGTGGTCCTGTGTTTTTGTCCATGCTTCTCTCTGCCAGTCTGTTGATAGGTATTTGGGGCATTGTGTCAGGACCTTCTCTCTGGACTAAGGTTCTGAAGAGGGCCCTGTAACTGTATGGGCATGGTGTGACTGACTGCCAAGTAGTGCCTTACACAGACTGAGCAGGGATGAATATTATGGACCAAGGTAAGCTAATTAAATTGTGTATATTTTCCCACAGCAGTCTGAGCTCTCAGCTGAAGAAAGTCCAGAAAAATTAGGAACCTCCCAGCTACATCGTCGGAAAGTTATCTCCTTGAATAAGCAGATTCAGCAGAAGACCAAGCATCTAGAAGAGGTTAGTGTTTTCTCTTTATAATTTCATTCAGATAAATGAAGCTGTTTTTCAAGGGAGAAATTGGAGAAAGAGTGAAGATCTTCCCAGCAGGTTGATCAAAGGAGATTCTAGAACAGGGTTTGACATACAGTGGCCCTCAGGCCAATCCAGCCACATATGCATTTGTAAATAAAGTTTCATTAGAATATATGAACAGCCACTTGCTTACATATTTTCTGTAGCTGCTTTCAAGCTACCATGTCAGAGTTGAGTAGTTACAGCAGAGACTAAATGACTTACAAAGCCTAAAATATTTACTGTGTGGCCCTTTATAGGAAAAGCCTGCCAGGCTCTGTTATACAAGATCCCAGGGCAAGAGCTGCATTCATTCACAAATACTGAGCTCAATTGTATGCTAAGCACAGAACCAAGCCCTGGGGATGAAAAGCACATTATGATCTCTGCTCTCAAAGATCCAGTGGGGAGTTATACAAGACACGAAACCTCCATCACACTCATCATCATATAGGTACAGCTGCAGTGAATGCTTGAAGGAGAAGGTGGCTAAGGAGCTGAGGGAGTGACTGATAGGAAGACCTGACGTAGCCCCAGGTCACTGAGGACTGAGTCTGGAAAGATAACTAGGCATTGACTGGGCAGAAATTCTACATGAGGTGTGTGGAGGATTTAGGAGAGGATTTAGAAAGCAACATGAACAAAGACCAGGGGGAGGAAGTGTTGGTTGATTTTGATTTTGTGGTTGGAGAGTCTGCTTGGTCAGCAGAGTCTGATTAAACAGGACCTTCCAGGTCATGTTAAAATCAAAGGAGCCGCAGAAAGGTTGAAGCAGCACAGTAGTGTGATCTGATTTGAATATTACAAAAGCATTCTGTTTGCTGTGAGATTAATTGAACTGGGGTGATAAAGGATTCATGAAAAACCAACCATCAGGAAGCTGTTGCAATTGTCCGGGTGGCCTGTGATGACGGGGGAATCGGAAGAATTTGGATCACTTTTAAGAACGCTGTTACAATACTTAGTGGTAGATGTGACTGTTTGGAAAGACCTTTATATATTTTCAGGAGGAAACTGGGGAGTTTGACTAGGGAACAGTCATATGATGTTAAAAAATTGTTACATGCTTCAGTTACATGGGGAATAACACTTTATTAGACAAATAACATGTAGTAGAAGATTATAGGCATGGATATGGCTTTTTGTAAAACAGTTGATGAGAAATTCCTATAACAGTTGATTTTTCAAAAATGGATACCAGTTGGCATTTTTATTCTTGCAAATTTCACATATTCATTGGTCTTGCCCGGTCATTTTTTTTAAATAAGGTGTTGATTTTATCCACTCTCTGGATCATAAGGAAAGAAGGATGCATAGGTTTGCTGTTATTTGGTTTGTGTTCAGTCATTTATTTAGACATTGCAATAGTTCTTAGTGAAGACTGTCATCTCTACTCCTGATCCTTGCCATTGATAAGAACATAAAAGTGATTGGTTCAAAAGGAACTTGTCACAGAATCTGGATGAACAGGAATGAAGGATGGAACTTCTTTATTATTGAAAGAGGATAKTTTAAAGGTTATTCTAGACCCACAGGAACATCTCCACAGAGGTGAACACTTACTTCTCCTTCTTGCCAGAACTTGAGAAAGAATGCCAAACTTGTTCCAAATGGCAGTCTGGACTCATTCTCAGTTCAGCCAAGAGGCCAATCCTCCCTGACTTTTGTGTCTGTTTTACAGTTGGTTTAGATCCTGTGTTTACCAAGAACCTATTGTTTTTCAGACATACTACCTAACATATAACAGACTTTTTAATAAAGAACAAAAATTAGTATTCTCCAGTTGATATTAAAGAAGACTGGTGTGTGCAATAACCCTGACCATGTAATTGGTCTACTGAGTGAGGAATCAGGAAGAAAGAATTAAAGATTTCAAGATATGAGTTTATAACAGTAAAGATAATTAATTTTATTTCTCTAAGTATTAAAGTCCTGAATCCTTTCTTTTATCTGGCATTATTTGCCAACTGGTTACACTCTGTTCTGGAATCCTGTGTGCTGAAACATAGTTTGTAGTCTCTAAGTAGGCAGGTTGGTTATTGGAATTGATTATAGCCATAGACAAGTCAGATAGACTTGAATTTGAAACGTGGCTTTATCATTTGTCAGCTCTGAGAACTTTAGTTAAGTAACTTAGCCTTTCTGTTTTTATTTCCTTGCCTATAAAATAAGCATAATGTCTTATCCATTGAATGTAAGGATTCAGTGATAGGATTTATGCAGAGTACTTAGTAGAGGGTCTGACACATACCTGGTGCTAATTAAATATAAGGATATTTTTTCATGTGTTCCTGGCAACTCTTCTAAAATTCCTATATTTTCTCAGTTTAAATATTTCTGAACTTCCATTTTCTGATCTATGAAATGGGGGATAGTATCCACATGTGTATTGCTGTAAGGATCAAATGAAAGTAAACATCTTTTATCTTTCCTTTATAGCTTCAATCAAGTCATACCAACTTACAAGCCAGATATAATGAAACAAAGAAAACCCTAACAGAGGTAAGCAGGTCCTTCTTCCTCCTTGGGCCTCTGTAAAGAGTCACCTTTATCCAACACTTCTTGGGGAACTTGTGTTTCATCAGCCTAATGGGAGTACAGTCCTGTCCTTATGGTTCAGTCTACCTGAGGACACATGGTGTATGTGACCCATGCCATCAGTTTGTCCACACTGCCGTGTTCTAAACCATCAGTGGTCTTGGTAGGAGAGGTGTCTGAACTGAGAGTCAATAGAGACTCCTTGAGGAGGGCTGGTTAGATAGGCAAGAGGGCACAGAGAAGAACTTGCAGGGTCTCTCACAGCGAGTGGCCCYTATTCCTCAAGCAACAAGTTACAAAGCAGCTCCAGAGGACTGAAATCCATAAGAGCAAGAAGAGCTCTCTTAAAAGAGAGAACCTCAAAGTGATATAAACTGCTGTTCAGGAATACCAGTTGTCTCCCAGGTGCAATGGGGAAGGAGAGGGGCTGCAGGTCAGGGAGGAGGTGTGTGGGTGTCTTTGAGCTGTGGGATTCAGTTTCCAGTTCAGGCTAGGAGCGCGCCATCTCACATCAGCATCCCAGTGCTGCTCTCCTCCCACTGTGATTGCCTAGGAAACCAGGCAAGGAACAGATGCCTCTGCCACCACCTCTGTCATGAGGAGCATTTAGATATTTCTGTCCCTCATATTTCCACAGAAGACTGTCTTCATCTGAATCTGAAAAGCTTTCTTTGTGGTGACTTTGGTGCTGAGACTGTGGTTGTCCTCTGAGAGGGCCTCACTGTAACGTCTCTATTGCTGTCTGGGTCACTTGGAAGCTGGGACCATGTACGACATCTCTGAAATCAAGACAGTTCCCAAAGTTTCACATGAAATATGCTGATTTAAAATTCTTATTTTTGTGACACTATATAGCAGTTTTTCACCATGTTGCTATAAATCTGATAGAGCTTTTCATTTGTGACCAGGACTGGTCTCTTTGGTTATTGTCTGAATGTTTGAAAAGGACAGGGGTGAAGATGACCATTAGAATAAATTTTTTTTTCCTTTTCTCTAAAGAGGCTGTGTTGCATTTGGACAACTGAGCTTCCTTTACACAGTTCTATGACTGCATTCCTAATAGATAAGATACAAAGTGCCTGGGGGTGGAATCCCTGCTGCTCTGTTACTTTTTAATGTTGCAGAATCCCTGGCCTGAAGTTTGCCAAGTCATGGATCAATCTTTGTATAACAATCTGAAAAAAAACTGAAGGCAAAACATATTGATATCAGTTTTTAAGACATGTCTTAGAATATAAATTCTAAGTGGTTGTAAACTGCCTTTTTGTACTAAATACTAAATCAAGCATTGGTTGAGCTTTTTTCCTAGGCAAGAAATATGGAAAGAGTTGACCCAAATCAATAAAAAGGGGAAGTCTTACTTTCCTCAAAGATTAACAGCCAGCATCACCATGTGCTGGGCCCATCACTTGTATTTGTCCATTAAATCTTCACAGTGACCCTAACAGCATACTCTTCTTTTCCCTGTTTTGCAGATGAGGAAACTAGGATAGAGAGGCTAAATCACTTGCCAAAGGCTATACAGTAGGATGCCAGCATTCAAATGATAGCTGTCTGGAATCAAAGCCCTTTCAGAAAGCTTACTATCTAGTAGGACAAAATTAAATCCCATCTAGAAAAATGGGAAACCAGGCAAAACCTAGTGCTTAACAACTTAATAAGGAAATTTAATTTGTTGTCCTGTGAATAAATAATGACCTTCATCTCTGTGCCTGGTTATCTTCCGTTCAAGTCGGGCTGGGCAGAGTGAGCACTCTGAACCCTTTCATGCCAGGGTTCCTGGCTTTAACCTTTTCAGCAAAACCTTCCCTTCTGTGATAACCTAATGGCACTGAAAACCAAGAAGACTTGTCTTTCTTCGATACTTAAGAATGGTGAAGCAGGCACGAAAGGCAGAAGAGGGGTGGCAGCAGCAAGTGACACCTATTGGGAGGTGCATGGCTGCCTCAGAGAGGCCAGGAGACTGCTGGCTCTTGTCTGCAGCATGGGCCTGGGTCTACCTGTCCACTCACTAGTACAACTTTAATTTTCTATGTGTAAGGTTGATTCTTTTCAACACATGCAATATCCTCTTGTATCGCTAAGGGCATTGGTTATCTTGAAACTTTTTCTCTATTCGGAATTCACATATTGAATCTACATTTTTATGGGTTTATCTTCTAATGTTTGATGACTATGGGCTGTGTTCTTATATTTAATGTTTAAATTTCCTTTCGCCATTTCTGTGGATGCAGTATCTGTTTTATGAAGCATACTTCATGTGTTATTCTGAAGAGTGATGCCTTCTATTTGGTGGGAGCAGCCAGTGGTAACTAATATTCAGGATCAGAGAAATCCAAAAATTTCTACTGACTGTTCCCAACTCTGAAACCCTGTTCTGCATCTGAGTCTCATGTACCCCCTCTTATATTTATGGAAGACAGGCTTCATTGCTTTGCCCACCTAGCTATTGCAACACAGAAACCCAATCCTGCAAGTTGGTCCTTTTTGTGTCTGTTGACTGTACACAACTGACCTCTTCATCCATTCCGCTTGCCATTTCTTGTCCATTAAGATTAGTCCATTTATTCTAACATATGAGTCTGGATTGGGAGGGGGGAATTGGGGTAAGAAGGAGTTGCTACAACTTTTGCCATTTTCTGCTAGAACTCTTGGAACCTTTCTTGTAAAAAAAAATAATAATTCACCTGGTTCAAAATTCAAAAAGCACAGAATGTATTTCTGTAACCAGGCCATCTATTTACCCCATCCTGACAATCCATATAACCAATTTCTATTGAATCTTTTAGGAAATGTTATGACTATAAAAGCAGTCATGTGTATATTCTTCATATATGCATACATTTAAGRTATTCATCCCTTTGTACGTACTAGAAGCTTGCCATACTCATAATTTTGTACCTGTTAGCTATCTCACACTAGATATTAGAAATCACTGGAAGCTACTTTACTTTCTATTTAAATATCTGTGATGTGTTCTGTTGTATGATATTACTGAACACTTTATTCATTCAAATCTGAGTTGCTTTAGAATTTCCCTCATCTGATTCAGAAAAAGGAAGTAAAACTGTTCAATAGACTAGGTTGTTAAAACTCTAGCAAGACTGGCATTCTGAGATTTAAATCCAGGTCTCCCTCTTTTAGCCACTCTTTTTCTTTCCTCCTTGCTACCATAAGGCATCTTCTCTCAGTATTACTTCAACTTTCCATCCATTTGATGCTACTTTGAAGCCATGGCCAAAGTTTCTTTTGCCAGAAGATCAAAATCTGATTTGGCCTTTCCATGCTTTTCTTCACCCCTTTCCCCTTTCTCTGGTCCATCTTGCTTCTAAATGAGCAACCAAATCCAGTGGGCTCAGGCCACCTATCAGAAGTGGGGTCCAAGTGTGAGCCGGGGGAAGGAAAACAGAAACACTTTTCCCTCTACTACCAAGTCCCTAGCAATGTTGCCTCCATTTTTTCTTGCAGCTGAAAAGTCACAGTGAGAAACTAGACAAAGAGCAAGCAGCCCTTGAGAAGATAGAATCCAAAGCTGATCCAAGGTGAGAGCTCTCAGAATACATTTATTTTTTTCTTTGAAGAAAGTAACTGCCAGTACCTGGAGGCTTACTTTGTTTGCACATAAGACAAAATAGCCAGAGGTCATGACTTCTAGCCCAGTGTGGGTCAGTTAATATCATCACAGAAAGGGTGCCCATCCAAAACCAGGTGACTGCTGCTGGGCACTTGCTGCCATATGCTCGGACTGCACTGAGTTACCCACCTTTCTCCCAGTTCCCCTTATAGTCAGAAGCAGCAAAGGTATTTTTGTTTTGTTTTTTGTTTGTTTTTAAAACAGTATTTTTTTAAATTGCACACAGGGGTACTTTATCCCCACCCCACCTCAACCCATCCCCTTTTTTTTCCCCAAGACAGGATCTTGCTAAGTTGCTGAGGCTGTCCTCAAACTTGGGATTCTCCAAGTCTCTGGGATTACAGGTGTGAGCCACTGTGCCCAGCTAAAAACAATATATTTTCATAGTATAAAAAAGCCTATAGGGAAAATTCTTTCTTTGGCTTCTGTCCCCAGCCCAGTTCTCCTTAGAGCCATCTATTGTTACCATATTTTTAACAGCATACATTTTAGCCATGTGTCCTTGGGAGAAAAGATGTGATCTTTTTGCAACGACCAAGATGCTATAATTTTATTTTTCTCTGTGTAAAATTAATTACAGTTTAGAAAGAAGGAAGCATTTAACATCTGATTTAGCTCCAGACTGTTTGGGTGTAAAATCTACTAGGTGTTGCCCATTCCAATGAAATTGTGAAATCATAAAAAGTTTCAGGCACAGGATGAGATGTTCTAGTGTGATGGACATTTTTAACAAAAAGTACCCACAGCCCACTTGGTTCTGTAATTAGAAACCTTTCTTTCATGATAAGGAGCAAAGTGCTATTAGGCATTTAACATTTTGATTTTCAAATTAGTCCCTTTTTTTAATGTCCCTAAGCAGCTTTTTTCCTTTCCAGAATGGTTATTAAAAATGGTTTTCAATACTGTTTATGCCCTGAGTGTAGCTGAATAATTGGTATCATTAATATATCCAGTACTGTTGAAACTTACTGATGTTTCTACAGTTGACATTTTAGTTCTAGAATATGTAATGTTTATTTGGATCAGCCTATAGTCTTGGGCATATAAATGAATAATAATGTCACTTAAATGAATGTCCTTACCATTTGTGGAGAACCCATTAGACTCTCTTGGAAGACACAAAGGGYAATTAAAAATGGAGTCCTTTCTAGTGGGGCTCTTGTTTTAGCTATGATTTATAAAATCATAATGGCCTACCATATGTCATTTTTTGGTCTTTTCTTTTCAGTATTCTGCAGAACTTGAGAGCACTTGTAGCCATGAATGAAAATCTGAAAAGTCAAGAACAGGAGTTTAAAGCACATTGCCGAGTAAGTTGTTTGCCATTGGCAAACAAACCAGGACTCTTGTAAAGGCTCTTGACTTACCTCCCCTGTGCCATGGGGCATTCTATCCAGTGTAGAGTACAAAAGCAGATTGATCAAGCAGTTATATACCAGTCATCTGAGGGTACCAGAGTGAGACCTCCAAGTGAGGGTATCCAACAAACAATGTTATCTAATGTCTTGGAAAGAAAAATCTTAAAATGGTCTTTAAAAAATATATTTTGTTGACAGATGGCTTTTGTGAAGGTAATAGCATCATACAAAGCCAGGGCTATCCTTTCAAACCTGGATGTCTATATAGCATATGTAGAAGCCTGAGTTTTTGCCATCTGGCACTTCCAGTGTAGTAGTGGGGGTGATGTGTACACAGGTGACTTCAGCAGGAAACAGGAAATAAGGCCCGGCAAGTTCTGTGAGCACCAGGGAAGGAGAGGCAAGCCCATCCAGGAATCATCAGGAAGCTGGATCTTAAGGGCCAGGCAAGATGAGCAAATAGAAGAAGGATTTGGTGAAACAGGCTCCTAGGTGATAGACAGGTGAGTGAAACTGAGGCCTGCTGGAGAAAGGAAGCAGAGTAGCCTGATTGAAACCAAGTTCTGAGCCACTCATTGATTTCGTTTCCCAGTGATTTCCCTATAAACCTAACCTGTCCTTTGCAATGACAGGCCTCTTTAGACTGAAGGACAGCTTCCACACAGCTGCTAGGGGAATGGGGGGACTTTCCCAGGCTGAAATTTGGAGATCAGAGCAGGTAGTTCTCAATTGTGAAAATAAGTCTTCTGGATCAAGTAGTAGTTAAATAATTGCATCCAGTTGTTAACCTTGTCTGAGTTTTGTAAATATGTTACTTTTAAAGGAAGAGATGACGCGGCTTCAGCAGGAAATCGAAAACCTGAAAGCTGAGAGAACACCAGGTGGAAGCGGAAAGGTAAGGACTTGGTTAGTCCGCAAGACAGTCAGCTGCTGGTATGGCCTCTGTGGGGAGTGTCTCTAGAGGACCAGCCCACCAGATAGTCTGGTGCTAAAAAGGACTGCTGGATTATTTCACTTAGACCAATAAATACACGTTTCTCAACTGCCTTCCTCCTGCAGTTTTCTTAGATTTATATCCTTCTTTCTTCTCTTCCTTCTGTGAAAGGAGCAATAGGCATGAATTACCAGATCACAGAATTATGTCCTTTGCCTTAGGTTAGGAAGTGTTCAAGCTCTGTTTCCTACTCCACTTACTCTTCAAAATGTCTTTTAGTTTACCCATTTACCCTTCTCTAGTCCTGCTGGGGATATGTTGCCACAAACATAAAAGAGGAGAGCAGTGCTGGGTTTTGTGTTAGAGCCCCAGGACTACAGGAACATTTTGGCTTTAGGAACATCAGTTGCATCTCTGAACAGGAGACTTGCTCTTCCATTGACCTAGCGTGGATGTCCATTAAATGTTAAGTTAAAAAATAGAGAAAAGAAAACGAAGTCTGCCTCTAGACAGATAAGTGACATAAATGTCTACAAAGCCACCATGCATAGAAACAGCAGGCCTGGGTAGAGAGTTACATTGTAAATAAATAAAGAATAATAAAAAGACAAAGCACAAAAGAAAATGAAGTCTATTTCTTCCACCAAATAAGATTGTAGGGATCTCTTCAATTTTGTTTTCCCTTGTCACACTTCATTCAGAGTTCATTTCTGAGGGACCCTGTGCCTAGGATGTAAAAAACTAGGTGGGTCATAGAGCCCATCAACTATACCTTCTCTCACCCTTATATAAAGGAGAACATTAGGCTTAGGTAGGGGAAGAGAATTGTTCAAGCCAGTACCAGGGTCCATATGCCCCACTTGGGCCCCACAGTCTCCACCCACAGGAGCCCTGGTCTTCGAGGTGCGTCCTCATTCATTTCAGCCAGGCCACATGACTTCACATCTGCAAGGGACTGATATGGGTGAACAACAGAGCCAAGGATTCATCCATGTCCTGGGACCATCACCACCTAGCCTGCCTTGCCACTTGTTTCTCAAACTTTGAGCCTCTGAGATATAAATCACCACCTCTGCCAGTATCTGAGCTTCCCAGATGACAGACCCTCAAGGTCACATTTCCATTTGCAATAATGTTGTTAAAGAGATTCTTACATTCAAAAGCAGTTACTGTTTTACATGGTGAGTGTAACTGATAGACATTTAAGAATAATTTAAAATCTGGGGCTCACATGCAGGCTGTTTGCTTTCTACTCTTTCTCCAAATGATGCTCAGTGTACATCAACACACTTCTCAGCTGGATGGGCGTTCCACATCTCTCACCCCCTTCCTCCTTTTAGACCCTCAGCTCTCCCATTCTCCCTACTTAAAAAAGTAGTTATTGTGTTTTCATCCTTTCAGAACCTCTCCAGTGGAGAGCCACATGAAGCCCTGACTTCTGGGATGACTCATGATGTAAGTACCTGCCCATTCTCAGGACTGGTACTGCCTCACAAGGTGTAGTGACCCAGCTTTCCCTTCTCTCTCAGCAATTTCTCATGCCTGCTTTAATGGTCTCTAGAGCCAACTTCTTGTCTCTTGGGCCTTCAGGGCATGGTACTGTTTCACACACCTGACTCCTAAGAGACAGCCCTGGAGGTTACCATTCCAGAGAGTTTTGTCCCAGGCCAGTGTGCAAGCATTTTGTCTTCACACTGGCATCTCATTTGAGAAGTAGGGAGGCTTATACTTGTCACAGTTTGGGGGCTCTACCGGGAGGGGAAAAGCTTTCTCTATTGGACTACATAGCAAGGTCTGTAGACTATTTCTATAAAGGGCCAAATAGTAGACATTTTCAGCCTTGTGGGCCAACTGTGCTATAATAGCCCTAGTCACTATGTCAATGAATGTACATGACTGTATTCCAGTAAAACTGCATTTACAAAAAAATAGGTAGAAAGGCATATTTGGCCCAAAAGTTATTGGATTTAGCTCACAGGCTATAGTTTGCTTACCTCTATTCTGAGTTAAACCAGAGCTCCCAGCACTTCAGTGCAATTACAGGAGAAAGAGGAAAGGAAAAGTGGGGAAACTCTTCATGTTCTTCTTTAAGGGCTTCTCTTTATTACCTGCGAGGAGAATGGGCTTAGAACTCTAGGGAAACCGTTGAAAGTTGCCTAAAAATGAGGCCTGTGGAGGAGAGAGGGGGTTGTGTGCATGTCTCCATCCATGCTTGTACACGCTGATGTACATGTGCTGGGGGAGGATACCTTTGACCCCTTTTGTAACTTTGATGTAATACACCATCCAACCATGTCTGCCTCAGTTCCATGCAGTGCTAGTATCTCCCTGTTCTTAGAGTTATCCAAAATAACTTTCCATAATCATAGAAATGTTCTGTATCTGCCCTCCAATATAGTAGCCACCTGTGGCTGCTGAATGCTTGAAATATGACTATTACAACAGGGAAACTTGAGTTTTTAAGTTTTATTTCATGTTAATATAAACAGTCACATGTGGCTAGTGGCTATCATATTGGACATCTTAGTTGTAAGTAAAAACAGAAAACTAGCACTATCTCCAAACACACGCCATATCTGTAAGGATTCACTTTCTCCTCCTCATAGTATTTTTTGAGGTATGGGGGAAGGACTTCACTAAAAATATTGGATCCTTAGTGAAGGAAGAGACAATATAAAAAGCTCTAGAATCTCACATGCAGTAGGACTTGTACCTTACACTCCACCTTTTGAGAAAAATTTGAGGATTCAAGATGAAGGAGATACATATTCAGCCTACAAAGACTCAAAGAATGAAAATTTTATTAGGCACAGTGGCACATATCTGTAATCCCAGTGACTTGGGAGACTGAGATAGTAGGATTTCAAATTCAAAGCCAACCTCAGCAACTTAGCAAGACCCTGTCTCAAAACAAAAAGAACTGGGATATAGCTCAGTGGTTAAGGATGCCTGATAAATAATCCCTGGTACCAAAAAAAAAAAAAAAAGTTTTCTATTCCTACATAATTGTAGCCTTTTTCAATTTTTAGGAAGACCTAGACAGACGATATAATATGGAAAAAGAGAAACTTTACAAGATCCGTTTACTACAGGTAAGTAAAATCAAGAACTTAACAATACATAAATAGGTCTAAATAGGTATGAATGTCCTACTGCAGAACTCTAAAGTCTCAATGTGTAAGAACTAGAGAGACCAAGTTATAAGGCTGCTGTGTACCAGTCTTCTTTCTTTCTAGAATGGAGACAATATTTTGGCCCCTAGAGAATATATAATGCCTTTATTCAAATATTTTTATTTTCCCCTCCCTTTTATATTTAGGCTCGACGAAATCGTGAAATAGCAATTTTGCATCGCAAGATTGATGAAGTGCCCAGCCGAGCTGAGCTAATACAGTATCAGAAGAGATTTATTGAACTCTACCGCCAAAGTAGGTGCATCAGCCATTTACAAGCTCCCGAGGTTGGGGAGGGCCAATAGGCAAGAGGCTGTGTCTGACTTTAGCATGGCAGAGGGGACTCCAGGAAGGGCTTCACTTTGTCATCAGGCACTCACGATTCCAGGAGGAACACTGTGGTGCTCTCTGTAGACAGATTCTTTACCAATTGAGCTCTTAGAGTAATGCTTTAAACTAGCCCTCATTCTGGTCAGCCATGTGATCTTCCCTGAGCTCCCACTTTCCAATTTCATGTGGAACATTATGACCCTGATGTCTGGATGGGTCCTCACTCATTATTCTCTGCAGACTCTCTTGTTGATGTGGTCTTAATTTTAATACTATCATCTTCACCCAGTAATCCCAGAGCATTCTCCTGAGCCTGATGAGTGTCTCCATCTTGTTAGGCTCAGAATGGCCTTAAAGTTGCCATTGTCTTTTTGTGCCCACCTCTCCTGCCTTACGTTCTTGCTTGCATAATATCTTACATAAATGACCATTAGCTGTACTGTAGTGGCTTTTCCAAGTCTCTTAGGTCTCATCTAATAAAATTGCTTTTCTCTCTGCTGACAAATTTTCAGGAGCTCCCCCAGGCCTTCTGAATAAAGCAGATTTCCTTCTTGTACCTGGGATAGGTCCTCCACAGTATGAGTGACCTACCTGAAGGCATTTCTTGATCTGGACCCTCACTAGCCCATACACTGCCTCTGTGCATACCCAGAGTTTTGGTATCTTATCTCTGGCTCCTCCAAYTACATGGACCAGGATCCCTTCTCTTCTGTTAGGGAAAATCCTTCAGGATCCAAGTCAGTCCCTGTAAGCCTGTCCCCAGTCCCCTACTCCCCACCCTAGGCAAGAACTAACTATTTCTCTAGCCTTCCCTCTTTCCATGTATCCCTTATACCCAAAACCCAACAGGTAGAAAACTGAATTCAGCCTCCTTATCCTGTTTCCTTTAGCTGAACTGGGTCCACTCAGTTCTAACTCCTGCTGCTCATCAGTTCTATTTCTTATTAACTTTCAAGTTTGTGTCTTCCAGATTGCTGCTGCAGCCTCCTGGCATCTCTGCCCAGAGTCGAATCCCCTCACTAAACTCTTGCCTGAGTAGTCTTTCTCAAACAGAAAGTTGGTCATGTACTCTTGCTCAAAAACTTTAATATTTAATAATTTTCATAACTTACTGGATAATTTTCAAAATCCTTGATAGACTGTTCAAAGTGCTACATCTTCTGGGCTTCCTCCTACAGTCACCCATGCCCTACCTCTCTAGCACATCTGCATCTTGGCCTGTAAACCATTCCCTAAATCCATAATGTCACTTTCCTGGAGTTTCCACTTGGCATTTCAAAGTCCATCTAAGAGTTTGCCTCAAGGCCAGGGCTTTTCAGCACCTCCCTGATTCAAGCTTGAGCCCACTGTCTTTGCTTGAGAATTCCAGGTCATGCTCCTCTCCACATCCCAGCCCACCAATCTGAGCTTTCAGCTAGTCCTCAGATTGACTCAGATGATCAGAGGTGGATATCATCAGTGACAGTTTTTAACAGAAAATAGGTTTATCTTTAAATCTTTTCCTTTGTCTGCTCAAAAGCTTTTAACAATAATGCCTTGTATCTGTATATTTCAGAGTAAATTTCTCACCCTAAAGTAATTTGTTAAAGGCATGTTTACACCAAAGCCATTTTTCAAGCAGTACCAAAAAAAAAAAAATCTATATCTACTTTTAATCATCAGATATTTTCAACCTACACCTGTTCTTGAGCAAGATGGGGAGAAGGAGGCCTTGTTTATTTGTGGCAGTGATTTGCAACTTTAGCTATAATGTGTTATTGGATGACCTGGGTCCCACCTACAGACATTCTCATTTCTGTGACTTTTTTTTTTTTTTTTTAACATTTCCAAGGTGATTGAGGTTGCACATTTTTGGGGCTTCAGTAGAGAGTGAGCTCCCAACCCTGGAAGGCCTGAGTCCTGGCAGTGTTCTTCCTCTGGGAATGAATGTTTAGTTCAACTTGATATGTGTTACTACTCATGTGCTAATTTCTTTGTATTTACAGTTTCAGCAGTGCACAAAGAAACCAAGCAGTTCTTCACTTTATATAATACCCTGGATGATAAAAAGGTTTATTTGGAAAAGGAGGTAAGAACCTTTAAAAAGAAAATAACTTAATCTAGTAAGCAGCTAACAATGCAATTTACTCCAGGAAGTTAAAATGAACTTGATGCCTGGGATGGGTTCATTGAATTTAAGTAGAAAGAGCACCTACTGTATGTCCAGTGCTGGGATTCATCTCCAGAAAGGGTAAGATTCCTTGGGAGTTCATCATCTGCCATGAATTGAGGCTGGTGGACAACCATTCTATAGTGCCCCATGAGAAACACCATCATGAAAAGAAGTAAAGTGCAAGCTCTGAAGCTGGGGAAAAAAGTGTCGAGGAAGGGAGGCACCAGCTAAGTGACTGGGGATAATAGGTGGCCTTGTTCAAGCTTACGTGGAGAAAGTAGCTCAGAAAGTAGCTCTTTATTCATCACTGGCAGGCATTCCTCTGAATTAAGAGAAAAGAAAATTTGAAACAGGAGCAAAAAGTTAACATAGGCATGCCTCCCTTGCCATCTTACTCTCTGACTCTTCTACTATGATTCAGCTCCCGCCCCCACCCCCTGCATGCACATATGCACGCACGCACACACATACATACCCTGTACATCAGATGATTGGGGTAGGATGTGCACCTGAATTTAGATAAAAGAACAGTCCCAGTCTTGACAACAGCACAGTGTAGTGAAGAGAGCACAGACTTTCAAGTCATATTTGAGCTTTAGTTTGTCCTCATTCACCTCACCTCACATCTGATTCTGATGATGATTATGATCAATGAAGTATGAGAAAGTATAAGCTCCTTTCATACAGTGGATTCTTAGTACGTACTAGTTTCTACCCACCCTCTCAATGGGGCTTACAGAATTTGTTTTTATTATCACCTTTTGACCTGCAACTAATTAGAACTTTTATAAGAACTTTAATAAGAGTAATATGATGTATCATCTAAAGTCAAATCAAGGCATCTAATTTTTGTTACTTTTGTTGCATATTTTCAGTCAAATCAGACAAACTCACTACTTGATAAGGGGTTGAAATTTATTTCTCTGTATCCACACCTTTACACAGTGACAGGAATCTAACATTTTTAAGTAAATGAGTGTATTTGGTGAGATTTGAGTCAGACATAGGGCAGAGCTCTGCCCAGGCCCTGACTATAGGGGAAGACTTGCCAACTTAGAAGGCCATGAACCCTCAGTGTTTAAAGTTGTTGCATTTCTTTTTTGAAGTTGGATATTAGACTTGCTGGGAGAGGCTAGACTTTCTAATTCAAAGCCAAATTAACACAGTTAAAATTTTGCATTTGAATAATTATGTTTTATTCCAAATGGACTTATGCCTGTGATATTTTAGAAAACTTCTCTTTGGAGCATTAAAGGCAAGAATATCATTTCCACATTTCAGATTATGAACTGGAAGTCTAAATATGTTCATTGCTTAGTCCCAAGCCCGTAGTTTGAGTGAGCATACAGCCAAAAGAGAGCATAGGTTGTTAGACTCCAGACTTGCCTATTCCCAGGACTGTAGTATCCCTGAGGCAAGTCAAGGGTGCTATTGTGGAGACTTAGGCAGTTTCCATGGGAATGGAACCATTAAGGAAGCATTCCTTCAGAGGCCCTTAGAGCCACCCACCAACTGGGCATGTAGGCAAGAAGATTCAGGAAAGGGCAGTAAGGTGTGTCCTGTGCTTTCAGTCAGGATTCCAGCTGACACCCCTGCACTGATAGCCCTGAAGAGAAAGTTCAGTCTCTAGCAAGATCGAAGCAGGTGTGGTAGCATCTTGGCCAAAGAGCCCTCATATTAGTTATATGCTTTCTCAGCTGGTATTTAGGGCCCTTCAAAGAGCCCTCATCCTACATTTCCATGGGAATGTATCGCATGAAGAAAAGTTTTCTATGAATAGACAGAGGTGGATTCCCTGAGAAAAACTTTAGGACTAAGAACATATTACTCTGTTTTTTCTTTCATCTGTTGCTTTAATCTACTTAAACAAGATATATGTTCCTTTCAGAAGCAGCATTTGGAGAGGAGGAGAGCTTTCAGTAATCAAGATAGTTTAGGGATCTGTTCGTCTTCTACTTACAGCTTGTTTTTTAACTTCCCAGATTAGCCTGCTGAACTCAATTCATGAGAACTTCTCCCAGTAAGTACAGTCCATCCTCCCTCCTTTAAATCCCTGGCTGCCCTCCTGTTTGTATTGCTTTCACCTTGTATTGTCATGGTATGATTGAGAACGGTACATGCAGGCCTTAAAGCTGGGTATGTGATTCTCACTCTATCACCTTTTCTGCTAAGAGCAGATATAATTTGTCACACTATCCTTGAGTTCCTGCAAAAATATAATGATGTTAGAGTGCATTTTAAAAACACCAAAGAGTAGCTTAGGAAAAAATTAACTCTCAAATCATTTGACTTGGCCTAGCTGCTATAATCTTTTGAATATTAGTTTCATCTTGGTAATGTAAAGGTCGGGCGAGCGTCGGAAGAAGAGACCACCAAGAGACTGTCTCATGCAACAGCAAAGGGTTTATTTGGGGACCAGCATGCTGGGGCTCAGAGCTCACTTGAATAGAGCAAAGAGAGAGAGCCCTGAGAACAGCTTAAGCAGAGCTTATATACTTTCCTTGGAGAGGGCAGGGAGGGAAGTTACATTTTGCAGTTTGGCAGTTGGGGACAGCACATTCTGGGAACAAGATTAGCAAACAGTTCTTAAGATTTCAACAGTGTTTTGTTAAGCATACAGAAAAACGGAGTGACAAGTACCTATTTTATTAACCTTTCAGTAAGATGAGATTAATACCACTTATTCTTAAGCACATAGAAATGCCTTAAAATTTAGATAACAAAACTATAATTTTTAAATATTTTTAAAATCTTGTAATTTTTTTTCTTTTAAGTTAATGTGTATCCTCTAAACCATTTTGTTCACATATGAATTTTTTTCCTCTAAAAATTAGATGCAGAGCCCACCTATACCTAGGCCACAGCAACCCTGAAACAGAAGAGGGGGACAGCAGCGGTTTGTGCTAGAGAGAAAGGAAGCCTACAATCTGGGAGCGAGTCCTCCCAGGATAGTAGGTGGACAGTCCTGGCAGCCTAGAGCTTGCTCCCCACTTAGCAGGCTTCCTTTCTCTCTAGCATAAACTCTACTGCCCCCCTTATCTGGGCCCATACTGAGGTCTTAATAAATTACAGACTCTAGATTTTATGCTTCTTTTCTAATGAATGAGAAAAAGAGAGAGAGAGAGAGAGAGAAAGAAAGAAAGACAAAAACTATGACAAATCCCTCATAAGATTCAGATTCAGTTAGTACCTCACAGTCTTAAGACATTTCTAAAAATGGTGCTTTATCTTTCTTTCCTGATGATTAAGAGAACCTGCAGTTTGAGGGTGTCTGTGAAGAGTTCTGCTGTCAGGCCCACCCTTTGGAATAATTCTCAGTCCTTGGATGTGTTCTGATGCCCCTAGTATACTTCCTTCTGTAGAGCTGAAGATGAGAAAAAATATCTTAGCACAGCAGGAGTCCACCCATTTAGCTGCTGCTTCTAGCAACAGGACCAGGTTTCTCAGCCCTGGTTTTAGGAACACCTGGATATGTCTCCCCATCCCAATTGTCTCCCAATTCTCAGATTTTTATAAACCAAATCAAATTAAATGGTTCATGCCACAACTCAAGGTAAAAAAACTGCCTTTTCCCAGCAGACTTCCTCTCTTGTAATATTTAGTCATGTTTTACTTTAACAAAACATGTATTAAAAGTGCTRTGGGAAATAAAAGATTAACATTCAGTTATTAGACCAGAATGATTGTCCTGAATTCCTCTGAGGTGTGGAATCGTAACTGCCTTGAAAAGGCCAGGTTGCCTCTTAGGGCATGATATGGGTACAGGGCTGAGTCCATGGTCCCCTCCACAATTTCTCAAGAGTTCTGTGTGCTGATCATACCTCTCCTGGTTTCTCTTTCAGAGCCATGGCCTTTCCTGCTGCCCGGGACCAGTTTTTACGTCAGATGGAACAGATTGTAGAAGGAATTAAGCAAAGTAGAATGAAGGTCAGTGGTTTCTTTACTGTCACACAGCAGTTCCATGGTGGTAGTGGGGAGGTCCTGGAAGTATTTTGTCCATCCTGATGGCGTTCCTTCCACAGGGGGATCCCAGCGGGCATCTGATTGTGCAGTAGGCAGGGCCTGCCCCCAGGGTGCCTGCACTCCGAGGTCCAAGTGCTGCTATAAGCAGTATCTCCAAGTTATTGAGCACCTACTGTGTGCCAAGTACTATAGTAATCCTCCTGAGAACCCTTGTAGTGCATTCCTTGTGTTAGCCMACTGTGAGGTGAGGAAACTGCCTTTTCCCAACAGATTTCCCCTCTTGCTCAGTGATCCCTTCACTGGATCTTTGCTTCACTAGACATTCATTCCTTAGAAGTCTCAGATCATAAGGGCATAAGAACCCCCTATGAAAAATAGGCAAATGATTTCTGAATTTGTTTCTGCTAAAACAAGAAGAAATTGAACCTCAAAAGTCAGAAGAGAACAGAATAACTGAGAAGGGACACAAGAGCCCCAGAAAGCTTTTTAGAAAATCTTGCAGTACATGGGCAACAAGAGGTGTCCCTCCTTTTGTCCCATGTGCAGGGTCCCACTTTGGGAATTCAGTGGACTTGCTGACTGCTTGAGCTGGGGGCAGACTTATAGCTGCAGTTTTGACCACATTCCCAATTGAACCCTAACTAGTAACTCTTGCTCTCAATACTATGTAAAAAAAGATATCCTAGTGGTCCTCAGATTCAGTAGTAGAATCTAGTGGGGACTTCATCTCCACTCAGGATCCTGGGTTACAGTGCTCCAGAGAGTGGTGCCAGAATGCAAAATGAAAGAAGGAATTRTCTATGGGTCCTGTCATCATAAAGGAACCACTTTCAAATGGCAAACATTGAAGCTGCCTGAAATCCTATCTCATCAGGAAGAGCTAAAGGTAAAAGTGCTTCATATCTCTTTCCCTGTAGAAAAACATCATTGATCTCCCCTTTAGTAATGTCGACAAAATATCGTCAAACGAGGGGGAAAAGGTATTGCTTTGAGGAGACGTAGTGTCTCCCACTATTCAGCCACAGAAATAACAGCAAACATGTCATTTGCACTTGCCATGTGCACATGCCCTCACCAAGGTAGCAAGTGTGCATGAGATGCCTTCTCCATCTGGGGTGTAAAGTGGATGGAGCTGGTCACCCCAAACTGGTGGCAACCCATATCTCAGTGAGGTGGTCATTTCTAGCCCGCTGCTGCTTCTCATGGATCTGCCCTCACTTACAGTAAAGGACAACAGGAGTGCATTGGGCTCTTTCTTCCTTTTGCTTCCCTTTCTGTGTACTGGGAACCTCATCCTTGGGGGAGGAAATGGGCTTGACCCCTTAGTTCTCTGCATTCTCCCCCAGCTCAGTGTTAGCCAGTGAAGGAAGCTGCTAGTTGGTGGGGCTTGCAGGTGAATGGAACCCAGGGCAGGACAAGCTGTATGTCTGTATCCTCAGGGGCTAATGAAGCACCTGATCCATGGTGGGTGCTCAGGAACTATTTGCTGAACAAGTGAATTCATTCAGTGGACTCTAAAAACAGTACTCAGAAAGGGTTCTAGGTGGGGTTTGAACACTGATTGGCACCCCAAGTGAAAGCAGTTGTGTGTTTTGCTCATTTGAATGGATGTGTTTGTTGTATTTGTTTATAAACTCAACAAACAGCACTCCCTTTAATGTCCCATGGTGGGTCTTGCTTTCATCATGTGGCAGTTGAGTCTCTGGAGAAAGATTCCCCAGACCTGGCTGGGTCTAGGCATTACTGGAGAGCACTGGTGGGTATGTGTGATGCAACCGATGTTTATGTTCCATCTAAAGGCTTCTGAGTAAAGACAAAGTAACGTGTTGGCAGCCATTTTTACCTTACCCAGAGGAAGTCAGATTTCTGGGTCTCTGGAATACTTCAGGTGTTCAGCAGAAGCACTCCAGAGTTCCTGGCCTGGGTGTGAAGAATTGATAAGTAAGGAGTAGAAATGGTTTGAGTGAGCAAGAAGGTACTGAGGACAGTGTGAAAATGAAACTCAAAAGTAGAAGTCAGCTCCTGATGGTGAGAGTGAGGGGACTCTTCCTGCTGACGCATGCAAGCTAGTTAAATGTTAGGAAAAGCTGCCTTTGTTGAGCAGCTGCCATGAACCAAAAGATGTATCACTGACTTAACATTTAACACCAAACATTCATCGTAACAAGACCTACAACCAGGGTGACATCCTCATTTTACAGCTAAGGGGGATCTGTCATTCAGAAATGTTAAGTAGCCTGCCCTGATTCACAGTGAATGACAAAGCTAGGTTTGAACCCAGGCTTTTCTGGCCTTAGTCTCATTCCCTTTCTGACTTGCCACACTACTTTCCATAGTAGGTCCTGGATAAATTCATAATTGAACTCAACTGCTATGTCTCCATCACTCAAACACAATTGGTCATAACCAAATTTTTGCCCAAGTACTGAGCCAACAGGAGAGACCCAGGGTAGAGCTATTTGCCTACAGTGCTGAGGAAGGGACCTGACCATGAGGCTGTACTCAGCCCTGCAGGTCAAGTGTCTGGCGGTTTGGGGAAATGGGCTGCAAGGAGGAGTAGCAGTGGGAATTGCAGCCGGCTGGGCAGGTAACATCAGGTGGGCAAAGAGCCTTGGAACTCCGAAGCTGATTCAGGTTCAGGATTGAACTGGGGAAAACAAATCTGCATGTTGTCTGGGCCTCCTGAACAGCATTGGGATAGGTATTGGGAACACCACTTACATTTTACCTTTAATGTCAACAGAGGCTGTTGATGTGGAAAGAGGAGAAAGAACTGCTGTATAAAGGTCACCTGTAACTTGGGTTTAATAACTGTACATTTCTTCCAAAATCATGGTCGCACATCAGTGAAGCCCAGGCAAAGCATCACTCATGATTTCATTCAAAAAGCACTGGCTCTGTACTGTAACTCTGCCCTCACTTCCTGACTGACTGGTGCTCCAAGTTTATCTTCAGAAAATGCAGCACATACCACTGCCAGTTCTGCTCCAATGCCATCAAATCCTCAGCTCTCTGACATTCCAATCTGAAGAGGTGCTATGCCCAACCCACTCCATTACCAGCCTATTTCATTTTCTTCATAATACTGCAGGACTCCTAGGAATTTTACACTTGTCTATTAGGGTGCTTGTTTGATGTCTATAAAATGTGCAGTCTAAGAGCAGGGACTTTGCCTCATTCACCACTACATTTGGGTGTTCTGTAGGTGTTGACATTTATTGAATGAATAAGCTTTTAGGTCCCTTAGAAAGGTCTCCTTAAATCAGAGTCTAGCCTGAATGTATAGGATCAAAATTTTGGAAACACTCCATAGTCTACCAGTAAGTGAACAATGATCAGGAATATTGTGTACTTTCTAAAATTACAATTGTAGCATGGAAATAATTACATCAAGAGAAAAGAAGATGCACAATTTTATTGTGTGTGTGTGTGTGTTTGTTTATTTTGGTGCTGGATATTGAACCCTGGGGGGCTTTTGCCACTGAGCCACATTCCCAGCCTTTTTTTTTCTTCCTTTGTTTTGTGTTTTGTTGTTGTTATTGTTTGGTTTCTGTTCTTGAGACAGGRTTTCACCAAATTGCTTAGGCCCTTGCTAAATTGCTGAGGCTGGTTTCAAAGATTCTTCTGCTTCAGCCTCCTGAGTTGCTGGGATTACCCTCATGCACTACCATGCCTGGCAACAGACAGTTATTTAAATCAAGGTTTCTCAACCTCACACAATAATATTCTGGGCAGGACAGTTCTTAGCTGTGAAGCTGTCTGGTGATGGTTGGTAGCCTCTGGCCTCCAACCTGTGGTACCAGCAATACTCTCACCTCACAGTCATGACAATCATGACTATTCCAGACACTGCCTAATGTCCACTGCAGACAAAACAGCCCCCAGCTGAGAATCACCATTTATTGTAAAGTAATTTGTAGTAACAAAAAAATGAGGGGCTGGGGATGTGGCTCAAGTGGTAGCGAGCTTGCCTAGCATGCATGAGGCACTGGGTTCGATTCTCAGCACCACATAAAAACAAAATAAAGATATTGTGCCCACCTAAAACTAAAAAATAAATAAATATAAATAAATATATATATATATATATATATATATATATATTTAAAAAATGAAACCAGTTAGCATTCAGTGATCAGAAAATTACTGAATAAATTATAGAGACTTCATGTAATATACAAATTAATAAACTAACCTCAAAAACTACATGTAGAAGGAAAGTACTGGAAGAAAATCCATGAAAAATGTTAATAATGGTTGCTCTTCAGATATTGCCAGCAGCAGTATCTTTGTCAGAATACCTTTTCATCACCCACCATGTCCCCAAATGTTTTCAACAGATGGAAAAGAAGAAACAAGAGAACAAAATGAGAAGAGACCAGTTGAATGACCAGTACTTGGAGCTGTTAGAAAAGCAGAGGCTGTACTTTAAGACTGTGAAAGAGTTCAAAGAGGTAAGAGGAGAGCTGGGCAAGACATGCTAAGGCTAAAGTGAAGTATATGTTCACCTCAGGATGAGCCTTGAAAAATCAGAGCAGGATTTTTTGGTTTCTTCTTGTCTGTGAGGGGAAATGACAAATTGGTGGTATGTTCTAGCAGTACCTTGTGGCATTTAGGTAGGTGAAGGTTGCATTGGCCAGTCTTGAGGGTCTAATTAAATGTTATAAGAAACATCACATCTTTGTTTTATTTTTCTTAAATTTAGATAGTGCATTAAACTCAAAGGTGAAATGACTCCATACATCTGCAGCAAGGTCCACCTATAAACAGCATGGGAGGGACCTTGAGAATCCACACGGGAAGAGAGAAAACATTGGCAGGCTTAGGCTCCCATCTTCCTTTGCCACTTAGCAGCTGTGCATCCTGGCAGTGACCTGTGCCACTAGGCTGTAGTTTCCTCTCTGGCACCAATACCCAACACCAACACTTAGCTGCGTTTGTTTTTGTTTTCCTCCCTGCATTTGGGCAGGGTTGCTCTTTATTGCTCCAGAAGGACAAGTGTTTGACTTTTTCTTTCTTGGTTTTTTTTTTTTTTTTTTTTGGTCCTGGGGATTGAACCAATTACAGGTCACAACTGAGCTACATCTGACATCCCATCCTTTTTGTTTTTTATTTTGAGGCAGCATCTCAATAAGTTGTGATCCTCCTGCCTCAGCCTCTGGATCACTGGAATTACAGGTGTGTGCCACCTCACCTGCATGTCTTCCTTTTTCTTAAGATATTTTCCAAAAAAGGAGACTGCAATTTTGTCACCAGGAATCTCAGTAGCTTTATTTCCAGGGAATCCTTCACCCTTCCTAATATGAATCCATGTGGTTTTGGTGAGTTCAGAAACTGCTAAAAATACAGAGGAGTCAAAGGTATGCTGTATCCTAGCTTTTGTTTGGTCTACAAAATAAGAAATATAATCTTACATGTCAGCAATTTTATTCCAGTTTTTTTGTTGTTGTTGCTCTGTTTGTATTTTTTTTTAGCGTGTTTTGTGGGGTTTAGTTTTTGGTTTTTTGGTGCTGGGGCTCAAACCCAGAGCCATGCACATACTAGAGAAGCACCCAATCACACCCTCAGCCCATTCCTGTTAATTTTTTAAGTCCTTTCTTCCTTATCCACATCTTTCCTTCTTTTTATCTATACCTCTGTGTGTGTGTGTGTGTGTGTGTGTGTGTGTGTGAGAGAGAGAGAGAGAGAGAGAGAGAGAGAGACAAAAAACAGGGATATTTAACTTTTAGGAGCCACAGCCTCCAAGCATTTCAAACTCTCATCCTTTTAAATGTTCCCCAGTTCCTACTTTGGCTCTGGCTATACACCAGGTTGTAAATCAGACCTGGTGCCTGTTCTTAAGGTGCTTACCTTGTGGTGGAAGAGATAGATATAAAGGTAAGAAACAGAAACAAATGGAAACTCTGGTGAATAAGTAATAACAATGATAAACTTTGCCTTTGAGGGGACCAGTTAATTGCATGGTCACGGGATAGCTGTGTAGGCAGCAGGATTCGGCCTTGGGAGCAGTAGGACTCAGCTGGGAAGCAGTAGGACTCAGCTGGACCTTGGGAAGTAGGACTCAGCTTGTGTAAAGGCCCTGAGGCTCAAAGAGAGGGTGCTGTCCTGTAGTCTGAGACCCTCTGTGATTGGCAGTTTAGAGATGAAGTAGGGCCAGTGAGTGAGCTGACAAGGAACAAATAGGACTCTGCTGCTCCCTCCAGAGCTCTTTTCTCCTTTTAATTCAAATAGCTCACAAAGAGAAAAGACTCAGAGAATAAATTTCAAATGTTTATTTGGACACTCCAGCACTGCCCATTTAACAGTATAGAAACAAAAAACAAGTAAGTTACACAGGATAAATATAAAGCTGTCAGAATCAAAGCAAATGAAAATAAAATGGAAAAACTCATTCGTGGACTGCAGCTCCTTCCAAAGCATTAAGCTTCAACATTTTTAATGTTGTACATGGCAAAAATTTTAAATTGGCAATCGAGTCAGCATTCCAAGTCTTAAACTTTCTCCCACCAGCTCTTCTGAGATAATTGTGGCCACCACAGGTGACAGTGCAGCTCACTGGCTACCCTCAGTTTCTACCCTGTGTCTTCAGAGTCACTGAAGACATAGATATGTCTGTTTTTCAGCTTTTTTCTGCTGTTTTTCAGCTTTTCTGATTTTCTGTTTCATTGCAGTCCCAGATAAGATCTCATTTGTAATAGGAAAGGTTTGAATAGTCAAACGTTCATCTCAGGGTTGAGTCTCCCAGAATCCTCTCTGTTACCCACTTTCGTTGCCTCTTTCCACCTGGTTGGCCTTCTGTTCCTCTGTTCTGAATTCTGCCCACTTCTTGGTCCCCAGCACTTATACTGGCCAATAATAATCATTCCCCAGTAAGGCACAGTATTGTTGTCCAGAGCATGGTCCTTTACTACCTTAGCAGTTTCCTTTATTGGATTTGGTTTACATCAAATTAATTAAGCACCAGTGAGAGCCCATGGATACTATTTAGGCACCAAGTCAGATGCTCAAGGTGACACCCAGCCTCCTATAGTATGAATACCTTTCTGATTAGCGACATTGAGTTTTCTCTAAAATCATTAACTCACCCTGTGAGGTTGATAATTACAAGTCTGCCAGGAAATTAGGAAACAACTCATCAACTAAATCACATTATGATGTATATTTCTAAACCACAGTTTCTCACAAGGAAACTAAAATTTTAATGTTCTGCCACAGCACTGGTAAATAAAAAACCCTATGTTTTCATGAAGCTAGCTTTGGAGACATAACCTTAAGTGAGCTGAGCTCACTGCTGGATGCTGTCTCTGGTGCACAGTGGGCTGCTTATAGTCTTCAGCAGGAAAGAGAGAGGTAATGAGACATTTTCTCTTTCCATCCAGGAAGAAATACCTAAAGGGCCCTTTTGTATTTGCTTTGAAGAGACAGACAATATCATTCTGTAGTCTCCCAAAAGGCTTCAGTAGATTGCATGAAATTTAGTCAGTGCTCACATATAGCCTGTGACAGCTGGAATATCTTTATTGGAAAATTCAAACATTATCTCAGTGTGAGGTGATATACAGAGTTACCCATAGTGGGGGCTCTTTACAGCAGAAGTATTTTGATACTGCTGAGTAGTTTGGCCTCATTTAAAAGGTAAGATGAAAGTTGAAACTTATTGTTCATATTTTTATTATGGAAACCTTTAAAATTTTACAAAAATTGAGTGTACAATACATAACTATGTGCTTGTTCTTGTTTCATCTCTTCCCCTCTCTACTCCCCACCCCCCTCAAGAAGGTGTCAAAACTTTATTTTAAAAAGAAAAATTTTCTTAACTTTTCTAATAGAACCCAAGATCATCTTATTTCTCCCTTTCCAAAAACTGTGTTCAAAAGTATCAGAGCGCCTTGCTTCTGACAGAAGAAGCCATGTTTACCTCCATCCAGCCTGGGAGCCCAGCTATTCCCTAGCTTTCCAAGTGGAAGATGAGTCTAAACCCTGTAGATAAACTAGTACTCATAAGAAAACTGAGGTCACTGAAGCTGTACTATGACAACTAGAAGAGCGAGGCACTTGGAGCACCTGAGCCCAGGAAAAGTTGACTTTGGGGATCTTGGCTGCAGAGAGTTCAGGGATGAGAGAAAGTTTTCTCTCATAATAAATGGTTCTCCAGCAGAGGATAGCCATAGTGGCCTAACCACTGCCACACCTGGGCCCTGTGAACCGTACACAGGGATTGTTGTGTCCCAGCCCAGGAATGGGTGGGCTGTGTTGGACGTTTGCTAGAAGATGAAGTTGTCTTGAGCTGTCAGGGCCAGTAGGAATAGGGGGACAGGAAAGGCACAGTGGGGAGCTTTTGAAGATGTTCAAAGAAGAGAATATAAAATAATGAGGTAACTTGTGCCACAGGACAAGAGGCCCAGTGTTATCCCTCTGTAAGCACAGATTTGTACCACTTATTTTCAGTGCTATGGAAGGAATGTCCCTTGATAAATATATCTCATCTTGTTTTCTATAAATTTATTTCTTAAAGTCAAGAATACCCCTTGCCTTCATTGTTGCTAGGGTAAGAATTTATAGTGTTTTGCCTACCACATTCTCTAGGGCTTCCTTCTCAAGGCCTCTCCCACTTCTCACCATAATAGGCTTCTGTCCCTTGAAGAGTTTAGAACCTTCAAGAGGTCTTTTGGAATAATAGTGCCTAACTCTCACATCTTTAGTCTGACAGTCCAGAAACTGAGCATCAATATATCTTCATTGAAGGTCAGTAAGTCACCAGATTTCACCTTGCTGGTAGACATGTGCTAGAAGTCTAGTTTAGTTAGTCAGGTGTCTCCTGTGGGATTGGAGGGAAGGACAGATTGTGCCCCATGTGGATGGTAATATAGTCACCACCTCTCTCTGTACTCTCCCTCTGCTTCTCCTCTAGGAGGGCCGCAAGAACGAGATGCTGCTGTCCAAGATGAAAGCCAAGGCCTCCTGAACATTCCCAGCCATTTTTGTATGTCACTGATTGATTTTTAATGCTACATCTATCCACTACAAGATCATGAAATGGTTCTGAAAGCAACAGTAGAGAGATGCAGGTGTATTGATTTCAACTCCCTGGATGTTTTCTTTCTCCTATCTGCTTCCATTTCATCTCTGTTGGCTGTTGTTGATGGAATCAGACAGTGTAAGCATTAGCTTGGATATGACCCATCACCTATGAAGAAATTGGGCTGTCTATGTTCTCTGTCCATTCAACTTATTTCTCTAGTAACATTGCACTTATGAAGGTACCTGTATTTGTCTGGACTCTCTGAATAAAGAAGAATTCTTTCATTCAGCAAATATTAATTAAATGACTACTGAGAAATAAACACTGAGGGAGATTCAGCAAAGTATAAAACCCAGTCTCTTTCCCCTACTACCAGGCATCCAGCAAGTGGCCCAGGGAGCAGATATAGCTCACAGGACCCTGGATCGTGGCTCATCTGAGATTTATTTCAATAAACAGGCTGCTGGATGAATGATCAGCCCATGTGAGTGTTCGTCACTTGGGCCTTTCACCTGCATGGTGCCTTGTTCCTGGGTTCTCAAGATATCAGTACCAGCCAGAAGGCTTGGATGATATACTTAGCAACTGGATTGAAAGCTCAATGTTGTGGGTTTAATTCTTATGTACTTAAGATCATGTCAAAAAAAATTGACAATGGGCCTCATATTGAGGATGATTCAATAAGAATTACACCTTTCCATGTCCTGATTTTCATTCGAGCCACGGGCAACACAAGAATGGGCTTTTTCATCCCCCTCATCTTATCTTTCTACACTGTGGCCAAAGCAAGGAGACTACACTGCAGTGCTGTTGGGGCAGGCCGAGGAAAAGACCACGAGCAGGTACCATTGGGAAGGGAAGAGCAGGAGGCTGTGCAGAAAGGCAGGGAGACAGCATCTGGAGGAGGAGGAGGCAGCATCTGGGCTAGATCTGAAGGCAGGGGGATATGATGTTAGAATGCTGGGCAAAGATAGGAATGTGGTTCCAAATGCAGGTGCACTATGATTAAAATCTCAGAAGGGTGTGGGAAAGGGTATGAGCCAGTCTCTGCCGGAGGCTTTAAAGAACAGCTGGAGAGATGGGCTGGGAACAGACTTTGGAGGATGGTGGAGGGCAGCTAAGAGGTTGGCTTTCTTTGGGAAGTGAGCAGTCAAGCTCCTGCCCTGTCTCTCCAGTCTGATGACTAGTCAGGGTCAGGAAACCTCAGTGTGAGGTTTATATTCCTTTCTTCATGAACCTTGCACATGTACACTGTTCAGTAGGTTTGGACCATAAAACATAAAAGCTTGAACATGTCAGGCAAGTGGGGGATTCAGCACAGTCACAGAAACACTGTGCTCATTTTTAGTTCACTAATGGATGTGATTATACAGGTCTAAGTATACAGGCTTTAAAAAAAAAAAAAATCTCTCTGGCTTAACACCACCATCAGTGTCTGTGCTGGTGCCAGCCAGACAGCAAAGCCTTCCAGATGAGCTGAGTGAGAACAGCAGCATCTGCACTGGCACTTCTCTGTGTCAGGCACTTCCTGGCTGTGTGCATCTCTACCTCCGCTGGTCCTGGAGTGGTGTTTATGTGGGGTTTTAAAAGGGCTCAGTTTAGTTGAAGCAGGTAATTGTAAAACAACAGGTGGGACTTTAAAGAAAGGAGGAGACAGCAGTTTGATTATGTTTGAAAATTGTTTCAAGTCCAGCGAAACCTTGTCAACAAGCTTGTAGGCCCCCACCTCTGCCCCTGTTTTCTGAACTTTGTGAGCAGTAGGAGATGATGTGATTATTTGTATTGGGGAGGCAAGGGCAGGTGATGTTTGAAGGTAGTGGAATTCACCTGTCTGTGTTGGTTGGAAAGTATGGTGTAAGTGATTCAAAGTAACCAATAAGCCTTAAATGGAGACCTGTTTTTTATTTAAGCTGTGTTTCTCAGGAGTTTTGTTTGGTTTTAGTATAGCAAGGCATTGGTAGATGTTCTTTTTCTTTTTTTAAACCACAAGGCCTAATACAAATGATAAATTAGTCTCCATTGCTTAAACACTTTGGATTAGACACAGAAGGCAATCTGGAGACTTCTTTGTTTTCTACAGACAACCTGCATCAGGGACAGCAGCATTGTGAGTAATTAGGACATTAGCTACATGGTGCAGTCAGGCTTTCTAGGCTCAGGAAATGCCCTGAGGTCCTCATCACTTCAGAAACCACTTGGAGATGACAGCAAGGTCCTCCCAGAGCCATGTCTTTCCCTGTGCCCAGATATACATAGAACAATGTTGTGTTTTGCACAACCTGCAGACTTTTCCAGAATTATAAGCAAGAGTAGAAACAACCTTAAGTTACTTTTTATAAAATGCATTCTTCCGGAGGAACCAGGTTTCCCCAGGAAGTAAGCAGTTTTCCCTGCTCAGAGCAGTGAGCTTGCTCTTGGAGCTGGCTGCCCAGAGCTGGTTGTCAAGCCTCTAGGTCAGGGACTCCCCTCACTCTTACATGCTTCTCATGAGTACATGAGGCTGGTTTAAACAAAACTCAGCTGCTACTAGCAGAGTGGGAATAGATGCTCATGAGGCGATACCGGGGACATTTTGTTTTTGTCCTTGGGCTGTGTTCAGTGTCTGGGGATAACAGGTGAGCTGACACCACTAGAGGGAGGTGCAGTATGTTAGAGAACACTTGTCAAGTCACACAAGAGGGTATGTATTCTTTTAATGGAGAGCACAATCAAAGTTTTTTAGCCTTAAGCTTTTGTTAGAGCCTAACATTCATGTTTTAACTGGTTCTGGTTCATAGTCCCTGTTTTGAGAAAAGCTGGGCCTTGCCACCTCACCAGACTGAAGAAACACTGCCTCATGATACTGAAACCCTTGGGACCTCCTAAAAACCTTGAGCAGAGGCTGGGGAAGGCTTTCAGGAAGCCTTCTCACTACCTCGCAAGACACTATAGCCTTGTGGTTATATTGACAAGCTCTGATCATATCTGTGGTGAGCAGAGTAGACCTGTCTGAAAGGGCACTTGGAACAGTCAGCTGTGGTCTGTGCTGCATGGATTTCTGCTGCCTCAATGTGGTCTTATATTGCCGACTCTGCAGGTTACAGATGGTCAGTTTAAGAGGGAATTAGGCATTCTAGCAATAACTTTTAACAGTTTGAGCCTGAGTCCTTTGTGGGAAACACAGGTAGTTGGCTTGCAGCATGCTTTGAGGAAGAACACTTTAAGGAGGTGCTCTATGGCTTCCTTGTGGCCCATGTTGGCCATGAGGTAGAACATCTTAATACAGAACAGTACACTAAAGATCCCAGTGAGATGGGTGCCTTTATCTGTCCCTGTGGCTGGGCATTGCCAGGGAAGTGCCTTGTTTGATGCATCTTCAGAATCCTCCATGCAGTCTCCTGGTCTTTCATACTCAGTTTAGAACATACTTTTTTATATCACATGGAAACAGGCTGAAATGTTACATGAAAAGTAATTTATAGAAGTCTCCTCTCTTCTCATAATAAATATATTGTGTAAGATCCTTGGGGGGATTTAGTACCTGGTCTTCAGCATAGTTAACAACCCAGGGAATACTCTTGTTCTTCCACGTCAGCATGTCTCAATTCCTCAGATGGACCAAGTTCATGCCCTTAAAATGGCTGTTACTCTGCTGTTTCCTCTACATAGAGCTCTGTCCCCTCCAAGATCTTGGGCTGTGGTTTTCCATGACCACCTAATACACATACAAACCCATTTAATTTTGGTCTCTGGCCCTGATCATATTCTGTCCGTCCCTTGCTATCTGTCTTGATGGCACATGTTACTGTTTGAATGTCAGTTAGTCCTTTGTGAGTTCTGTTGCCCACCCTACATTCTGGAATGTTAGGGCAATAAAAACAGGGACCTTGTCTGTCTTTCTGTGGTCTCTCTGGCATCTGGCTCAAAGCCAGGAAATACTAGGATAAATGTGCCTCTCCAAATTAGAGCTTTGCATCCCTGTATTAACAAAATTTAGACTTAACCTTTCCTCTAATTTATGCTTAGTTTGAAACAGGCCAACAGTTCTATTCATCAGCCTAGGACGACTGTGTTCTCTCTAACCTGGAAAGTTGGAATGAAAAAAGGTGTCAGTTTTCAAACTTTCAGAGGGTCTTTTAGAGATATATTTTTTTCTCCCAGAATAGGCAAGGAAAAGAGAAAGGGTACACACTAATGTCATCTAAGATCGTGAGTATGTTTTTGCTCCAAAAAGTTCATGAAATCTAAAGGTCAGTTGGTAGAAAATGTCTCAGCCACGTGAAAGCCAGAAATGGGAAGATGCTGCCAGGTTATGGGAAGCAACATTCAGATGCAGCATTGGCAGAAGTATGAATTATACAGCCTTCTGGAGGACTGTTGGACAATACCTGTCACAAGTGCAAATGCACAGCCTTTCGAACCAGTAGTGCTACACCTAAGAATGTTTCCTTTGACAAGGATTTTTATTAAAGCATTGTTTGTGATAGCAGAAGTTGGAAACTGTCAATCAATATATAGCAATGGTGAAATAAGTTATGGCCAGTTCCTATAGTGGGGCAGAAATTTAAAAGAGCAGAGCTGCTGTATGTGTTCTGCCATGGAATGATGCATGGTTAAATGGGGGGGAAAAGGCACATTGTATACTAGTATTTGGAATGGAAAAAAAAATGTGTTTATAGATTGTGTGTGTGTGTGAGCACATACACTTCATGTCTATGACACGTGTCTGCTTACATATGCATATAATATCTCTGGAAAGTTATACAGCAACCTGGCAGTCTCGGTTGCCCCTGGGAAGAGGGGTGGGAATAACTTCACTGTATAACTTTTGTACCTTTTGAATTTTGTACCATGTACATGTATTATCTTTTCAAAAATAAATAGTTTTTAAATTTTAATTTGGTTTAGTTTTCAAAAAAATAAAGGATTCTAGTTCCATAAATGTACTTTCTTAAGCAAAATAAAGCCCATGAGTCAGAAGCAGTAAAACTGTCTCTTGCTTGGGTCTTGGTGGTAATAGGCCAGTGTAGAAGGAGCTGTCCTCTGATGTAATAGCTTTGAGGAGCTGAGACACTGAGGCACATTCGGCACTATTATGGTTTGATATGAAGAGTCCCCCCAAGACTCATATGTGTTGAAGGCTTGGTCCTCAGTGCAACAATGTTCAGAGGTGGGGCTTTGGGGAAGTGGTTGGGTCCTGAGGACACTCACTCATCAAAGTGTTAAGCCATTGATGAGTCTGTAACTGAATGGACCACTAGGAGGTGGGGCCCCCCTAGAGGAAGTAGGTTACTGAGGATTTGCCTTTGAAGGTTATATCTTGTCTCTGACCCCTTCCCCCCACCCCCAGTTCCTGGCCACCATGAGATGAGTAGCTGTGCTCTGCCACACCCTTATGCCATGATGCTCTTCTACSTTACCACAAGCCTGGAAACAAAGGAGCCCATTATGGGCTGAAACCTATGAAACTCTGAGCCAAATTAAGTCTTTTCTCCTGTAAGTTGATTTTCACAGGTATTTTGTCACAGCAACAGAAAATTGACTAACATTCCTATCCACTGTGTGAGTGTGTTGGCCTGGCAGGGATAGAAAATGGACTATGAAGACGATAGAACCCTAAACCCCATTGTAGGGTTGCCTGCATGTCATGAGAATCACTGTGAAATTGTGCTTCCTGACTTTTGGGGTACAAAACATGGGGATGGTACCTCTGAGCCATGGCCCAATGGGAACTGTTAACATCTTCTAGAAGCTACTCCAATCTTGAATAGAAACCTACTGTGAGTGATCCTTCCAACCCTTGTTTACTTTTTGGTGTGGGAGGGCACTGGGTATTGAACCCAGCAGTACTTTATCACTGACCTAAATCCCCAGCTGTTTTTGTATTTTAGTTTGAAACAGAATCACCAAGTTGCTAAGGGTGGCCTTGAACTTGTGGTCCTTCTGCTTCAGCCCCCCAATTCATTGGGATTCAAGTGTGCGCCACCTCTCTTTCTTTACCAACAGAACTCTGTTTTCGTTCAGCTCCAGGAAAACGTCATAACAGCTGTTCTAAAAGGCATGAGAATCCCATTTCTGCTTTCCAAGGTTGATTTATAAATAGATGTCTAACCCAGTCATGACCAACAATGAGAAGACTGCTGAGGAGTCCCAGAAAGACTTTCCTGCTGATAACCAGCCAGAATTGTATCAGGAGAGCTTCTGCTTGCCCTTTCTGTTTATTTGTCAAGGAAATCACAAGATTTGAGCAACTTCACCATCTAGACACTGAGCTTGACCAACTGAAAAGATGGAAAGAATCAGGCTCCCTGAAGGCATGATGAGCTTCTGAGCCAACCTGAGTCCCACTTGCTTCCATGTTCTTGTTCAATGAGAGAAAATCCTGTTAACTGGTGCATTCAACCAGCAAATATTTGAGTTTCTACTCTGTCAAACACGAAATACAGAAATGAAAAACACAGAAAAGAGAACCTGCCTTCCTAGAAGCTTCGTCCAATGGGGAAGACACATAAGAAAGAAGTATGTAAGTCATGTTTCTTCAACATACTGATTAAATCAGTGAAGGAGGGTCAGGAATGTCTGTTTTGGTGGTGGTGGCAATTTTATATTGAGAAGCTAGGGAGGACCTCAGTCACTGACTAGTGAAGGAGAAAGTCATAGAGACCTGGGTGAGGAAATTCCAAGTGTAGGGAATATCAAGTGTAAAAGCCCTGGGTAGAAGCATACCCAGATGAGTTTGGTGACTATCTGTGAATCTGTGTGGGAAGCTACAAGAGAATTTTGAGTAGAAAAGTGATATATTCTGGCCTCGTTTTAATAGGGATCCCTCTGGGGCTGTGTTGCCTACAGGCTGAAGGGAATCCAGTTAAGAGATCACTCATAATCCAGATGAGCTAGGCATGGTGGCACATACCTATAATCTCAGTGGCTGGCGAGGCTGAGGCAGGAGGATTACAAGCTCAAAGCTAGCCTCAACAACTTAGCAAGGCTCTAAGCAAATCTAAGTGAGATTCTGTCACAAATAAAAAGGGTTGGGATATGACTCAGTGGTTAAGCAACACTTCTGGGTTTAATCTCCTGGTACCAAAAAAATAAAAATTAGATGAAAATACAACTGAAACAAATGTCTCACAGGAGTTATGCTTTCTATATTACAATTTTTTTTCTGGTGCTGGGAATTGAACCCAGGGATGCTTTACCACCAAGCTGTAGTCCCCAGCTCTTTTTTGAGACAGGGTCTCACTTGCCTAGGATGTCCTTGATTTGCAATCCTCCTGCCTCAGCCTTCTGAGTTACTGGTATTGCAGGTTTGTGCTATCACATAAGGCTGCTTTTTTTTCCTGTTTTGCTTTTTTTTTTTTTTTAAGTACTGAGCATTAAATTATTGGTTGATATTCATCAGTTCCCTCATAGTAGATACCTTTGTTATGGCACTGAAATATACTTCCCCATCYCTTCATTTTAGGATTGTAGTTTATTTATGAGGTGTCCTCCAAAAGCTCATGTCCTCCAAAGCAAGAATATTCAGAGGTGAAATGATTGGTTTATGAGAGCCTTAACCTAATCCATAGGTTAATCCACTGAGATATTAACTGGGTGGTAAACTGTAGACAAGTGGGGTGGGACTGGAGGCAGTAGGTCACTGGGGGCATAACTTTTGGGCTTATATTTTTTCCTTAGTAAGCAGAACTTGCTCTTTGCTTCCTAGTTGTCTTGTCCTGAGCTGCTTTTCTCCACCATGCTCTTCTGCCATGATGTTCTGTCCCACCTCAGGCCCAGAGCTATGGAGTTGGAACCTCTGAAATCATGAGCGAAAATAAAATAATCTTTTCTTCCTCTAAGTTATTTTTGTTGGGTCTTTTGGTCACAGTGACCAAAAAGCTGACTAAAACCATTGATAGAGTTTTGAAAAGGTGTTTGTGTGGCCTATCATTTTGCCCTTCTCTCTTGAGAAGATTTTTGTTGTTGCAAAAAAGTATGAGAGACACATGGTGCAGACCTAAACCTGATCTGCAGCTTTCAAGACCAGAAGAGTCCAGCTGAGGTGACTGAAACTGCAGACCAGCCATAGACAAATGAAGGARCAAGAAATAAAGGCTTGTTGCTATGTCCCACTGAGATTTTATAGTTGCTACAGCTACTAAGAACATGGTTGAAGGTTACTCTTGGTGTCTTTCAGTCAAGATAATTAACTCAGCCTACAGGTTTTATTGGTATTTTTTTTCCTTGGGGGGTGAGTACTAGGGATTGAACTGAAGGGCACTCGACCACTGAGCCACATCCCCAGCCCAATTTTTTATTTTATTTGGAGACAAGGTCTCACTGAGTTGCTTAGCGCCTCGCTTTTGCTGTGGTTGGCTTTGAACTTGCGATCCTTAAGTCTCAGTCTCCCAAACTGCTGGGCTTATAAGCATGCACCACCACGCCTGGCTTTTGTTGGTGTTTGGTAGTACTATTACAGGTATCATTTTCCCTCTGTATGCATCACAGAAATGATCCAGAGCCTAGACAGGAATGCCTCTAAGGCCTTTTTATTTCACATACAAGTCAGTATGGTTAAGTAATATGGAAACATTTCTCGTAACTTTCGTCCCTTGTGGTAAAGAAGCAGAGAAAAGACCTCACCAGGGTTTCACACACTGGAATCACGTGGCAAGTTTTAAGAATTGCTGCTGCAYTGGGTCATCCCCCAGAAATTCTAGTTTAAAATCAGTCTAAGAGCAAACTAAAAATCCAGCAGCATCTGTTGTAGTTTAGATGTGATATGTCCCACAAAAGCTCCCGTGTGAGACAAAGCGAGAAGGCTTAGAGGAAAATGATTGGATTAGGAGAGTCTTGATTTAATCAATGCATTAATCCCCCATAGGAATTAACAGTGGTAACTACAGGCAGGTATATATTTTTTCCTCCTTGAGGGAGCTTGCTCTCTGCTTCCTGGAGCTGTGTCCCCAGCTATTTTCCTGCACCAGGCTCTTCTGCCACAATGTTTTGCCTTGCCTCAAGGAACAGAGCTGGCTGTCTATGAACTGAGACCTCTGAAACCTTGAGCCCCAAAATGAACTTTTTGGCCAGAGTAGCAAAAAAGGTGATGAAAACAATCTCACTGATTTAAAAAAGGAAAACTGAGAGAATGTAATACATATATCACCAGTCTACACTTTGAGAGTCTGATTCAGTAGGTAGGTGATCCTCATTTTCTTGCAAATTGGAATACACAGCCATTGGGGGATGTGTGAGAGTCTTGAGAAAGGTAAGCTGAGTTCAAAGGGTGGGGGAAGCACTCTTTCACAAGGGAGAGTCTTCCAAGAGGGTTGAGATGCTCACTGAGGAACAGAGTATTGAACAAAGGAAAGTCAAATCGTCTTTGACTTGTGTGTCAGTTGTAACCAATTAGCAATAACTAAAGTGCTGTCCTGAAGGATTCTGAGTGAAATTCCTGCTCAATGGGGAAAGGTACATGATCCGTTAGCAATGTCTACATCTATATGGGAAGAAAGCATACTTCTATGCTTACTGTATTTTGTGAGACGAGCCTTTGGCACTGCTACTTCTATAGTCCCAGCCCAATGATATAACTCTCAAAATGTCATTAGTATTCAGCTAGGGAGAGACAGCTCCCAGATCACTGGTGAAAAGGAGAGATATGAGTTCCTTTTCCCCTGTCTCCCCATTTCTCTCCAACCCCTTTTATCTCTGCTTGGTAAAGAGGCTCTTAAAAGCATTGTTGTAGTTCTTGTTAAAAGCTGTGTAAATCAAGGGGTTGAAAAAAGAATTGGAGTAGCCAAGCCACAGGAAAATGCTCTTCCAGATGGGGGGTAAGCTGCAGGCACAAAGGGGGCTGATGAGCTCCGCTAGGAAGAAGGGG